CAGCCCTGACCTCCAGGGAGCTCAGGACCCCACCCCCACCCCGCTAGTGCGAACACCAGTGCCCCCAGCCACAGCTGTTCACTTTCGAAGATCAGCCCGGTCCCTTCCCAACTCCCCAGCTCCGGACCCCAGTATCTGGTCTTTCTCTTTCCTTCTGCAGATGGACGGGACAGAAAGCAGTGCCGGGCAGCCCGGCCCCTCTGAGCGGTCCCATCGAAGCAGCGTGTCCTCCATGGGAGCCCGAGGTGGGTCCTTGCCCTCATCTCCTCCACCCCCCAATCCTCCTGGGGCCCCAGCCCTGGGGAAGTGGTCCTGGTTTGTCATCTCTTCCATTAAAGAGAATCTTATGTGTTAATTAACGAATAAGGTATGTTGAGGTATGGAAAAGTGACAAAGTCAGTAAGAGGACCTGGGCTTTGTCACTAGGGTACTGGCCCTGGTACTCCATGAATCTCTTTCCTCATTTGTAAAATGAGCGTGTAGAACAGCTGTGAAATTCAAAAGAAATCTTATGAATGAAAAGTGACACATTCACTTTCTTTGTTGGATTTCTTTCTCACAAACAGCTTTTTGAAAGCAGGGACCATTATCTTTGTTTTATAAGAAGGAAATCGGGTCCTGGAGAGGTTAAGTCACAGGATACTGGAGCCTTCAGTACATCGGGTTTCCCTGCCTAAAAAATGGGTCTGAGTCTCAGCCTCTTGGAGATTATTTTATGATCCCTCAAGAAAGTAGCTTTTGGGAAACAGACTGGGGATCCAAAAAGCACCTTTACTTGTATTAATGGTAAACTCTGCCCTTGCCTTTCACAGGCTTCACCTCATTTGCTTCACAGCCGCTCTTTGAGGGAGGGGTAATAACCCTGCTTTATAGGTGAGGCAGCTGACACGTTGACTTGCTAAAGTCAACCAGCCAGTTGGGGGCCAGGCGAGGATTGGAACCCCGGTACTTTGGCCTCCAAGGTCAGTGCTCCTTCACGGTACCTGCAGTTCCAGGAATGGACATTTGAATCTGGCAGCTTTCCCAAGGGTCTCTTTGGGCTCTAAATAGGAATCCCAGAGGCTGTCCTGAGGGAACACTCAACTCATACTTCCCCTGGCCTGTTTAAGACCGTTTTAAAGGCCATGGGATTGAGTCTTGAGGCTTCAAGAGTTCTAAGGAAGCAGAGGGGAGACGAGCCAGAGCGCAAGGGCATCCTGGGACGTGCTTTACCCTAGGGTGGCCTTGACTCCTTAGTTCCCATCTTAGCCTGGGCCAGAGAGAGACAGCAGTTTGCATGAAGATAACAGTGGGTCACCAGCCCTCCATCCTCCCAGCCTGATTTACTAAGTGCTGTAACCTCACGGTGGGTTCAACCTATGCCTCAGTCCCCACCTGTGGAATGTTCTCCAGGGAAGAAGCATAGCAGGGTCTTTGGGGCTGCCAGGGGAATGTGCGGGGGAATATGTCCAGCCCTGATTTGAACTTTTGAGGATTAGGGTGGGGCTAGGCTGGTCCTTGGGCTGGAATTGCTAGGTTTCTGGGTGGTTTGAGGGTCTCAAGTTTTAACAGACAGCATTCTTCACAGGGTCCTTCAAGGCTCTGCCTCTGGAATGTAGCCTTGGTCATCCTGAGGGGTGTAGGGTGAGGGCTCCAGCCCCAGTAGGGGTGGAGGGTACCTGGTGGGCATTGCCTGGGCAATGGGCCCAGCTGACCCTGCCTGGCCTCCATTGCAGCCGCCGACGTGCTGGTGTATCTCGCGGATGACTCGGTGGTGCCCCTGGCTGTGGAGAACCTGCCGTCCTTCAGTGCCCACGAGCTGCACCGTGCCATCCGTGAGGTCCTGCAGCTGCCGGACATCGCCCTGGATGCCTTCGCGCTCTGGCTCGTCTCCCCTCTGCTGGGTAAGGCTCGGCTGAGGAGCCAGGGTAGGAAGGTCGGGAAGGTGCTGACCAGTTGTGGGGGGCAACTTCCAGAACCTGTGGCCACTGTACATCAGGGGAAGGTGGGACTTGTGTGTGGCCTGGAGCTGTCCGCTCTTTTGAGGACCCAGAGCCCTAAGAGGACTCCTGGCTTCTCTGCCCACACCTCTCTGCTGGTGGCAGAGGAGGGGCTGAGACTGCCCATCAGCCTCAGCAGTACGGAGCCTGAGGCATCAGAGGAAACAGGATGGGGGCGATGACAGGGACAGAGGGATTCGCGTGCACCGAACACATGGTCTGTGCCACAACCTGAGCTGGTGTTTCGTGAGCAGGATTTCGCCTTTTCCTCATGGCCCAGCCCTGTCTTGCAGATGAGGAGATCAAGGTTTGGAAGGGTAGGGCCAGTGCGTGGTAGGATCGAGACCAGAACAGAAGCCCGGGCAGTCCCAGCTGGCCTCTCGGAACTGCGTTCTGCTCCTCAAGGGCAGGGAGGAAGGTGGGACCTGGCCCAGAAAACAGCCACCCTTGAAGATGAAGCTTTTCCTGAGGGTGGGGAGGGCAGGACAAGTGAGAACCACCTTCTCTACAAGGGGCCTCCAGCCCGCCTGGTTTCTGGCCTGTGACTGCCTGTGTCCTGCCCTTTCAGGCTGAGATCCTAAGGCAGGGATAGAGCAAGAGTGGGGTCTGGGCGCTCCCTGGGGCCTCTGAGTGGGGCCTCCAGCCTGCTGGTTTGGACAGGAAGGGGGTGGGAGAGGATGCCCCAGCTGTTGCCAGGGCAAGGCATGTTTTCTGAGCTTAAAACTTTCTCCTTCCTTGTAAGAGGGGCAGGGGCAAGAAGGGAGTGACTGGTCCCCAGGACTCCTAGTGGTTGGGGTCCCTGGTGCGTTCACCCTGGAGAGAGGCTATCAGCTGGCTTGGCGGGAGAGGGAGTGCCTGTCCCCCAACCCCCTGCCCACCAGTTGGAGCTTCCTGCGCAGCTGCTGCTCTCGCCCACCCTCATCCTGCTGACCTGTCTCTTGCAGCCGCTCCCAACCCAGCTCAGCTGCCCCTTCTTCACTCTCCAGGCTGTCGGTCAGAACTGTGGGCCCCTTGCCTTGTGTCTTTGAAAAGTCGGGGGTGGCAGTTCTATGTGGCTGGCTGGCCCCTGCCAGGCTCCCTGTCCCTCTAGTTGGATAGTTTGTTTCCTGCGCGCCCCCTACTCCC